ATATAATATTGTTAATATGCTAACTACGATCCCCAATAGTTAATATACGATGATGCAAAAATAACAAAATTTATTTTGTTATAATAAAGGTATATATATATATATATATATATATATATATACATTATTATTATTAACCATAACAGCACTAACAATTACATTTATAATAATAATAATAATAATAATAATAATAATAATAATATTAACAATTTAGTGAAAGTACGATCAAGCTTATTACACATTGAAAAAATTTGCAGATCAAATAGCGCTAACAAACAAACGAATGAATGAACGAATGAGTGAATGAATGAGTGAATGAATGAGTGAATAAATTTATAAATAAATGAAGGAATGAATGACTGAATGAATGATTGAACAAATAAATGAGTGAATGAGTGAATAAATGATGGCCTGGTTAAATGGTTGATTGAATGAATGAATTAATGAACGATTGATTGATTGAAGGAATGAATAAATTAATGAATAAACGAACATACAAATGAATGTGTGGTTGAATGAACGAATAAATGAATGAACGAACAAATGAATGAAAGAATAAAAGATTGAAGTTTAATCTTGAAAAAAAATCACCAAGACATATTAAATATCTACTCCATTGGACAATAGTACAAACGGACTATGAACAAAGTGGAACAATTTATTTTTTTTATGTTTATACAATATCAGATATTTTTTTTTTTAAATTAATAATTTTTCATTTGTCTACAATTTTCAAAAAAATATTTTCACCAAACATTATTATCATCTAAAATTATTGCTAATCAATCGCTAAAGCTTAAGTAGGTCATTAAAGCGTCTTATTGTTATCGAGATTAGTAGCATCATTACCATCATCACCTCTTCCGTAGTCAGAATCATTATCAACATCATCTGCAACATTATTGTCATCATTGTGATGTCTTGGTTGTTGTTGTTGTTGTCGATTGGAGTCCTGTTGTCTGGCAGATTGTTGTTGTTGTTGTTGTTGTTTCATGATTTGTTGAGAGAGATAGGATTGTTGATTGGTTGGTTTCGGTGCTTGGGTCTTAAATGGGTTCTTTGGCCCTCCATTGATAATGACATCATCTAAACTGTTGTTCATTGGCTGCTGAACTGTTTCTATATTGGTCTTGTAACATGCGTTCGACCAATCAGGTGGACTCTTTTCCTTCATCACGATATCATTGGCTGCCTTCAAAGTCCTGGCAGCTACCTCTTCCGGGTTTTCTTCTTCTGGTGGGTCTGCCCAGGGTTGTTTCTCCCCTGAAGCAAATATGGCGTAGAAGATGACCCCCAAGATGTGGATGACTCCGGCTATGATGTACACTGTGTCCCATTCGTCTGCCGTCTGTTCCAAAGTTGTTTCATATCTCAACAATTACACTAATAATAATATCATGTGGAAGTTATTGTTTTGTCCTATCAAGTTGAAATGTTTGTGAAGTTTTTTTTAAATTTCTGTTTAGATTTTATTTTCAAATTTAATATGTCATGTTTTGAAAAATGTTATCGTTTTGGTAATTTTATTCGTCAGAGTGCTTCAAATTTTATAACTTACCGCTGATAAAAATTTTATGAATGAATGAATAAATGAATGAATAAATGAATGAATGAATAAATAAATAAATAAATGAAAGAAAGAATAAACGAATGAACGGATGGTCGATTGGAGCGAACGTACTCCATCCTTGGTTATCATTTCAGTGACGATGGGACAAAACATCCCGGCCAACGTTCCAACACCATTAGACATTCCCATCAAAATGCTGGCATACCGCGGTGCTATGTCCAAATGATTCACGTTAAACCCTGGGCGAGGGGGTTAATAATTTATCGGTGTGATTGTTTCCTTAGCTTGGTATGTTGTTGTGAGTTGTGGTGTTTTGCTTGGTTGTTTTGTTTCACAGTTAGCCATCATTTGATCGGTAGTCGATATAATTGTACATTTTTTGTACATTTTTATACTGTTTTGTACGTTTTTAATTGCTGTGTATGAGTTTTTAAATTTTCAAAGAACATCTAGAATTTTAAATATTCCATTGAAAATGCACTCAACATTTACCTATCCATCCGTCCATTTATTCAGTCAGTTAGTCAGTCGATCAGTCATTCATTTATCCATAAATTCACCGTCCCATCTATCTATTCATCCATTCATCCATGCATTCATTCACTCAATCATCCCAAACAAACCGGATATAGCAAATCCGCTAAAACCAACAGCCACGGTCAAGCAGGAGATAGCAGTCACGGTATCTTTGGTCAGTCCGACGCCCAGCAGAAACAGAGCCTCCAGTCCAAATCCTCAATTTTGTTTGAATTTTGTATAATAATTTTTTTTCATAATTTAGTCATCAGTTAATTATTTATAATTATGAATTACTACTATTACAGCTACTACTATTACAACTACTACTACTACAACTACTACTACTACTACTACTGCTACTACTACTACATTACTACTGGTGCTGCCACTACGGCTACAGCTGCTGTCGCTACTACTACTGCCACTTATACTTTTATTTTTGCCGCTGCTACTACTATTACTGCATTTAGAAGTTCTATTATTATTGCTAGTAATTAATTCTTAAAACTCGATTGCAAAGTTAATACACTGGCAGATTAACCGGATGGACGCGAATATTAAAATATCGTGATTTGATAAAAAGACAAATATGCATATTAAATCGAATAAATTACTAATTAAACAATTAATTAAACAATTAATTATAATTAAATTAATCTAAAAAGAACAAAATCTAACTAAAGTAATAAAACTTATCAAAGATAAATAGTAAATTTTTTCTCTCTCACCACCACAATTAAATATTTTTCTGACGGCAGTGGTTGACAGAATTTTTCTCTTTCTCAGGGTGTCTGCCATGAAACCTCCAATCGGCACCACAATCGTCATCACCAGATGGGGTAGGGCAGATAGGGTCCCACTCTGGTAGTTAGTCAACATTAATATTATAATTATAATTATTATAATATTATTATAATTAACTCTGCCATATCATCGTCGTACGCTATCTATTGCGACAGAAATGTGGAATGAATCAATTTTAAAACTAATTAACTCTGGTCGTACTCTCTTTATTTGAATGATGAGCTTCTCAGATTAATACTCTATTTATTGCACTTGGCCTTTTATTTTATTTCATTATTTTATTTTATTTGTACTGCCATTTTTATTGTTTTTATTGCTGAATAAAAGATCGTTCCCATAATCGTTATAATTGTGGTTATTACATTCAAGGCTGACCTTGTGACAACGATAAAATAAAGGTCTTAGTTTGATAAAAATTATCCATACTATTTCAGTTACTCTTAAAATCCATACGTAGACACACACACGCGCACATATACTCACACATGTACACATACACACACATGCAAAGACACACATACAAAGCCAGATACACACACACACAGACAAAAATATCTCTACTTTCATAAGAACATTGAAACATGGTGTGACTTGAAAAATTTGAAACATTAGTACAATGCAATTCCATTGTAAAGGTCTATATAATCTAGTTATTTCTTTAATGTGTACCTACGTGTATTTGTGTGTGTGTGTGAGAGAGAGAGAAAGAGAGAGAAAGAAAGAGAGAGAGAGAGAGAGAGAGAGAGAGAAAAAGAAATACTTGATGATAATAACGACTTTGACGTTTAAAAACATGATATCTGACTGGATGAACGAACGATGATAAAGATGATGATGATCATAATAAAAATAATAATAACAGTATGAATAATAATAATAATAATAATTATAATAAAATATATTATGCCCAGATGAATGATGATGATGACGGCCACACCAACGATAAAAATGATGACTAGAAAGATGACCATAAGAGTGCTGATTAGATGAGAAAATGGATTAATTGAAATGATAACGGCGACGACGATGAATGGTTGAAAGATGGATGAAAATGATGATGAATTAAACGAGAGATGGATGAAAATGATGGTGAATGGATGAGAGATGGATGAAAATGATGATGAATTAAACGAGAGATGGATGAAAATGATGGTGAATGGATGAGAGATGGATGAAAATGATGATGAATTAAACGAGAGATGGATGATAATAATGATGAACTAAACGAGAGATGGGTGATAATAATGATGAATTGGATGAGAGATGGATGAAAATGATGATGAATTGGATGAGAGATGGATGAAAATGATGATGAATTGGATGAGAGATGGATGAAAATGATGAGAAAATGACCAGATGAAATGATGACGACGACGACGATTACAAGATGAAAAAGATGAGGATGAAGAGATGAGTAGAGTAGATGAGGAAGATGAATGGGAAGTAGATGTAATTAAGGCCGAAGCAGTGCGCGCTAC